CCTCCCAACTCGAACTGCCTGTCTGGCCGTATTCCCCCCGACCTGGCCGGTGCCTCTACCCTGCTTACTTCCCTCGCTCCTTTCCTCACACCCTCTCCTCCCCCTACTCCTTCCCCTCATCCCTCTCTCAGAGAGCTCTACTCCTACCGCCTGTCCGGCCCCATTCCCCCCAGCCTGGGGGATCCGTCTGCGGTCTGCCCTGCTTAGAGCCCTCTCTCATCCCCCACTACCGTCTCCCCCACTGTTGTCTCACTGTTCTTTCACCGTTCCCTCAGAGATCTCTACAGTAACCGCCTGTCGGGCCGTATTCCCGCCAGCCTGGCCGGTGCCACTGCCCTAAGAACAATGTGAGTCAATGCGAATCAATGCGAATCAATGCGAATCAATGCGAGTCAATGTGAGTCAATGCGAATCAATGCGAGTCAATGTGAGTCAATGTACCGGCTGTCGGGCCGTATTCCTCCCAGCCTGGCCGGCGCCACTGCCCTAAGAACAATGTGAGTGCAATGAGTGATAAACCTGTCTGGCGTGTCAATCATGCCAGTCAGTGCGAGTCAACGTGAGTCAATGCGTGTCAATCATGCCAGTCAACGCGAGTCAACGTGAGTCAATGCCAGTCAGTCACACCCCATTCTCTGTCGATCCCCATTTCATCCCTCTTCATTGAGGTGTTTTTTGAGGCGCCTCAAAAAACACCTCCATTGCATCCCTCTCCCCCGACCGACAGCACACCAGATGACAGTCCCATCTCCATGCTCGTCCCCACCCCATCCCATCTCTCCCACCCCTCCCCATCCCATCTCTCCCACCCCTCCCCATTTCATCTCTCCCACCCCTCCCCATCCCATGTCTCCCACCCCTCCCCATCCCATCTCTCCCACCCCTCCCCCCAGAGCAATAGACGACAATCGCCTCTCAGGCCCCCTCCCACCAGCACTCGAAAACCTCCCCCCCACAGAGCACTGAACGGCAATCACATCTCCATTCTCTCCCCCATCCCATGCTCTCCCCCACCCCATCCCATCCCTCCCTCACCTCCCCTCCCCCCAGAGCAATAGACGACAATCGCCTCTCAGGCCCCCTCTCACTAGCACTCCAGAACCTCCCCCCCCAACACAAAGCACTAGACAACAATCACGTTGCCATATGCTGTCCCCCATCCCATCCCTACCTCCCATCCCTCCCCCACCTCCCCTCCTCACAGAGCATTAGACGACAATGCCTCTCGGGACCCCTCCCACCAGCACTCGGGAACCTTCCCCCCAACAGCAGCACACTAGACGACAACTACACTCTCACGCCGTCCCCCATCCCGTCCCATCCCATCCCATCCCATCCCATTCCTCCCCCTTCTCTACTCAGAGCACTAGACGACAATCGCCTCTCAGGACCCCTCCCACCAGCGCTTGGAAACCTTCCCAGTCTCGACGCACTGTAGGGTTCAGGGTTCATGGTTCCGGGCTTTAAGGGGTTTACGGTATTTTGGGGGGGGGGGGGGGTTGGGGCTGCTGGTTTCAAGGGCGGTGCCATGAGCATCTCCTCTTAAGGGGGGTTTGAGGTTTAGCCTAAACCGTTTAGGGCAGTGGTGCTGCTCTTTGCGTTTCTGCACTCTTTGCTTCTTCCTCTTCTTGCAAGCAAACCCCCCTGCAAGACCCTGTTTCTGCCAGCTTCACTCGACCCTCGTGCTCCCGTTATACCTTTCTGCTTTTGAGTCGACTCAAAAGCACCCTCGTGCTCCTGTTATACCTTTTCCCTGCCCGTGCTCTCTCATCTCGGCCATATGCCCCGTGCTCTCTCATGCCACCATCTGTGCCATACTCCCTCTCATGCCACCATCTGTGCCATTCTCTCGCACCCACAGCTATCTTGCAACCAACTCCCTGGAAGGCCCCATCCCTGCCAGCTTCAGTTGTCCCTCACTACCCTGTTGCACCTATCCCCCGCCTGTGCTCTCTCTCATCCCATCAGCTATGCTGCAAGCAACTCCCTCGAAGGCCCCATCCCTGCCAGTTTCAACCGCCTCAACAGCCTCATGTACCTGTGAGTGAGTGGGGCTTACATGTGTATGTACGGTAATACCTTGTATACCAACAGCGTAACCCTTCCCTCTCGCCCTCCCCTCTCGCCCTCCCCTCCCGCCCTCCCCTCTCGCCCTCCCTTCTCGCCCTCCCCTCTCGCTCTCGTTCGTGCGCCTGCAGTGACCTGAGTTACAAACAACAGGGGCATCAACGGATCCATGCCAGCCTTCCTCCCCTCACCCAATCCCTCCCTCGCCCTTCCTCTTCCTTCCCTCGCCCTCGCCCGTGCGCCTGCAGCGACCTCAGTTACAACAAGGACGTCAACAGGTATCCACCCCTGACTGAGACATGTCTGAACCTTTCTGGGAAGCCACTGGCTGAGCGATTTTTGAGAACTCTCAAGAAGCCGCTGGCTGCTTGGGAACGCTAGCTTCCTCCTTTATCCCCCTTCCCTCCCCCTCACCCTCGCACGTGCAGGGATGTGAGCTACAGCAAGGGCATTTAAGAGTCTGTCTGCTTTCCTCCCCCCTCACTCAATCCCCTCTCTGCCCCTTCCCTCCCTCGACCTCTCACCGGCAGGGACCTGAGTTACAACAAGGGCATCAACGGGTCCATCCCAGCCTCCTACCCCTCACCCAATCCCTCCCCCTCTCTGCCTCCTCTTTCCCTCGCCCTCACCCTTTCGCCAGCAGGGACGTCAGTCACAACAATGGCACCAACGCATTCATCCTCCTCAACCATCCCTCCACATCTCTCCCCTCCCTCTCTCTCCTCCTTCTCTTTCCCCCTCCCTCCCTCGCTCTCGTCCTAGCACCTTCAGCGACTGAAGATACAACAAAGGCATCAACGGGTCTGTCTATCCCAGCTTCCTTCCCGCTCCGCCCCTCTCCCGCTTCTTTCCCCTTACCCAACCCCTCATCCCCTGTTTTCCCTTCCCCCGCCCTCACCTTCGCACCTGCAGGGACCTGAGTTACAACAAGGGCATCAACGGGTCCATCCCAGCCTTCCTGGGAAACCTCTGGCTGCTCGAGTCGCTGTGAGTGTGGGTGGGAGGGCTGGGAACTTGACTTGCCTGTGGGTGCAAAACGGTTGGGAGGACTTGCAGCCCAAGGTGTGTATTTCTGGATCCTGTTTCCTCGTGGAAATCTTCCTCTCCTCCAACCACCTCTCCAGCCGCATCCCAGCAACTCTCGGCAGCCTAGAGTCGCTCAACAAGCTGTATCTCAACCACAACCGCATCCTGTCCCTGCTCTGCCCCCTCCCCTTCCCCCCTCTGTCCTCCCTTTTCAGGGCCATGGAGCACTGCAATCTCACCGGCCCCATCCCACCCTCTCTAGGCGCCCTCAGCCTCCTCGTGGAAGTCTTTCTCGACGGCAACAGCCTCTCCGGCCGCATCCCAGCAACTCTCGGCAGCCTAGAGTCACTCAACAAGCTCTATCTCAGCCGTAACCGCCTCACCGGGAGCATCCCGGCTCAGCTGTGCCGCCTGGCCAATATCTACGAGCTCCAGCTGGCTCGCAATGGGCTCAATGGGTCGATTCCAGCCTGTTTGACTGCCCCACCGCGCCTGAGACTGCTGTGAGTGACCGTTAGTCCTTGTTATCAACCACCTGTATCAACCTGGGTTACCAGTAGCAGCCATGTTATCAGCACAGCATCCCGGCACAGCTGTGCCGCCTGGCCAATATCTACGAGCTCCAGCTGGCTCGCAATGGGCTCAATGGGTCGATTCCGGCTTGTTTGACTGCCCTGCCGCGTCCGAAACTGCTGTGAGTGAACTGTAGCCCTTGCAGCAACCTGGGTTATCAGCGGCTGTCCTTGTATCATCACAGCATCCCAGCCCGGTACAGCTGTGTCGTCTCTCCTCGTTCTGGCTCACATCACAATGAGCTAAATGGGCCGATTCCAGCCTGTTTGCCTGCTCTGCCGTGTCTGCCTGCCGTTGCTGGAAGTGAGTACCATGTGTGGCGTCTGCGCCAGAATATGGGTCAGTAGCAGCCCTTGTATCGGCTTTTGAGTCGACTCAAAAGCAGTACCATGTGTGACATTTGCGCCAGAATATGGGTCAGTAGCAGCCCTTGTATCGGCACCCGGAGTGCTGCTGCAGCTCAGCTCAGCTCAGCTCAGCTCAGCTCAGCTCAGCTCAGCTCAGCTCAGCTCAGCTCAGCTCAGCTCAGCTCACCTCACCTCACCTCACCTCACCTCTCCCCTATTCCTTCTCCGTACTCCCCTCTCCCATCTCCCCTTTTCCGCCCCACCCACTGCAACAGCGACGTCTCCCACAACCACCTCACAGGCAAACTCCCTCCCATCCCAAAGAAATCCAATCTCGTCTTCTTGTGAGTTTCCCCATCATGCCCCTTTCTATAGACCATCTCAAAAGCCTCAAAAGCTCAAGGGTCTCAAGAGTCACCTCACGGGCCCATCCCTCCCATCCCATCCCGAATAAAATTATTATCATCGTGTGAGTTTCCCCTTCATGCCACTTTCTGCATGCCGGTAACTGTCTCGACCATGCACCCAACTGTCTCGACCATGCACCCAACTGTCTCGACCATGCACCCAACTGTCAAAGTTTCTAACACCAACCAGGCCTGCCCCACCAACGCCTCCTCCCTTTCCGCATCCCTCTGTGCTCTTCTGTGCCCATGATCCCACCCTCCCATGCAGGTATGCCGGTAACTGCCTCGACCGGGCACCCAACCAGGACTGCCGTACCAGCGCCTCCTCCCTTGCTGCTACACCCTCTTCTTCTCCCTCCTCTGCCCCTCTCTCTGCTCCCACTTCTCCCTCTGCTCCCACTTCTCCCTCTGCTCATCCCTCTGTTCCCTCCTCTCATCCTGCCGCTCCTCCCTCTGCTCCCCCCTCTGTTCCCTCTGCTCCCCCCTCTGTTCCCTCTGCTCCCCCCTCTGTTCCCTCTGCTCCCCCCTCTGTTCCCTCTGCTCATCCCTCTGTCCCTCTCTCTGCTCCCTCTTCTTCTCCCTCCTCTTCGCCCCCCCCTTCTCCTCACGCTGCCCCCTCCTCTGCCCCCTCCGCTGCTCCCTCCTCTGCTCCCCCCTGTGCTGCTCCCCCATCAAGCAGCCTTGCTCCTGCCTCTTCCTCTTCTCCTGCCTCCTCCCCTGCCTCCGCCTCTTCTCCTGCTCCCTCCTCTTCGCCCTCCCCCGCCCCTGCTTCCCTTCCCGGCCCCACTTCTCCATCCACATCAGCACCGTCCACGCCAGCACCGTCCACATCAGCACCAGTGCTTACTTCTCAACCACAGCAGCAGCAGGGAACCTCACCAGGGTCTAATAAATCAGCTTCAAGCAACGGATGCTTTTAAGTTATGTACACAGCTGCGGCTGTCTGCTTTGCTGCTGTGGTGCTTGTGTTAACATGGTAATCACGTGTGTTCCTGCTATGGCAGTACCAGCGAGAGTCTTGAATTAAAGCCAATCTATGTTATTTATGCACCTGTTACTGTGTGCAATGGTGCTGTGCCGCTTGGGTTACCATGGGAACCATGCGTTGCTAGTGTAGCAGTAACTGGTACTCTCCCTACATGTTCTTCCTCTAGCTGCGTGTGATCTGGCTTACAATTGGATTTTTGCAATCATCTACCGTTGCTCGGTAATATCATATGTGAATTTTTTTATGAGCGCCCAGTCACAATTTTCACAATTTGGAGATTTCAATGAAAGTGCAGCTAGGGGAACTACTTACGTAGATGCTCATGTGAATTTAGCATAGATGCTCCTATGAATTAAGCATACCGTAGATGGTCATATGAATTTAGCAGCTCCAAATGGAGACCAAGTCAAAAATAAGACAAAAATCAACTGTAGGATCAATGAATCTCATAATTAATCTTTGAACGTTACGTGTAAGTGACTACACTTGCGCTTCAAGAGAAGGCGGCAACCATTCCGAAGCTCGACTGCGTGGTTGCACCGGAAAACTCCACAGTAGAAGCCTCTTCGGTATTGTTAATTCTCTTGGCGAAACGGCCCTGGACACAAGAACAAAGAGAGTTGAGTTAGTCGACTTAAAGATTGACGGAGGGCACGTAGAGCACTAGGAAAGGCACTAGGGGATAGAGGCCTCAGCTCAACGCAGGATCAACTGAAGGCACGTTATAGGAGATGAAGTTACCTTTACTCTGGGTCGGCTCTCGGCGTAAGCCTTTCGTGACGCGTAACGAATCGTCTTCTCAAACTTTCGGTTTTTTCTCTTCTCTCGGTACCGCATCACGCGAGCTTCGCGAGCCATCGCCACCATCGGGCTGTTACCAGCCGTCGCTCCCACCGCTCCATGCGGAGCAGCATCGAACGGCAAAGCCATGCTTCCGTCGAGCGAGTTAGGTCGACCCAACGTCTGGCACGACTCCACTATCGAGCGCGGATGGTGACAACTGCAAATGTGACAAGAATGAAAAGAGGAGCATACGTAAGTTCCAACGACTCGTAAGAATAACCATAGATAATCGTACAACCGATGGTCGAAAGAGAGAAAAAAAATCCTTCTGAGCTTGTTAAAAGCGAGGATCCACGTCAACTCACACTTCCTGAAGTCCCCGGAGTCGCGAGCGGTAGCGCCCGAAGCGCACGCGTGTCGAACGAAGACGCGTTAGAAACGGACGGCGAGCATTGACGCACATCGGTCGTATGAACAGGAACCATGCTGTCCTTCGCGATCCTCGAGATCCCCGCCAAACCGAAACCCGCGCCTCCCATACCTGTCGGACCAAGCCCTGCCGAACCTAATCCAGCTCCGGCAGCCAAGCTCTGCAGCAGCTGCGCACTTGTCGGCAAACCCCCAGCCGCGGCATGATGACCATGAGCAAGAGCATGGTGCCCATGGCTGTGATTGTGAGCGCTAGCAGCTGCGAACGTCTCAAGGTTCAAGAATGGGTCGACGTCGAACAACAGATCTGCCCCTCCTGCTCCTGCTGCTGCTGCTGCTGCTCCCTCCGCGCCTACTGCTTTCATGAGCCGAGACTGCGGGAGAGCGCCACTCATCGTGGCAGCGGCTGCGGCGGCGGCGGTGGCAGCGGTGGGGTTCGGAGGGGAAGACGTAGGGGGTTTCATCACGAGGGAGAGAGCGTTCGGGTGGGGGAAGAGAGACGTCGGGTTGAGACCGAGGGATGGAGGGTAGATGCCAATGTTGGAGAACGGGAGAGACGAGAGCGGGTCGCTGCTGCTGCCGAGCCGACTAGCGGCAGCGGCTGCTGCGGCGGCGGCGGCGGCAGCGGGATTGAGCGACGGGTTGAGGAGCCAGCTAGCCGTATCGCCAGCTGTATCCTCGTCACAGGCTTCCTCATTATCGGGATGGTTATGACCGAGGTGTTCCTGGTTCCGCTCAGATAAATGGAGGCCGAGACCCTTGAGGCCGTGTTCCCCGGGGTGAAGGAGATCGGATCCGGGAAGAACGATTCCGTTTACAGCGGATTGGATGTGGGCGACTTTGACCATGGAAGGGCTTTCGTAGAACGGAACGACGGGGATTCGGTCATGGCGTTGCGCGAGCGGGTTCGCATTGTGAATGTCGGCGTCGCACGTTGTGCAGAGCGCCGCGGCGTCTGCTTTGCAGGTTACAGCCGCTGGCGCCATTTCGCAGACCTCGCACACCCAGACGCGCTCGTGCCGCGAGGCGAGCTTGTTTGCGCCATGGATCTTGCCGTCACAGCCGGCGCAGAGATAGGCGGAATCAGCTCGGCAGTAAAGCAATGCCGTGACGCTTTGACAGGCGTCACACGGCTTCGGCATGTCGAACCCGGAGAATTTAAGCGAATTAGTTAGGAGGTCTGCTTCTGTAATCGCACGGACCGAGGTAGCTAGCGTTAGGAATGTTGGATGGCGAAGCGTATCTGTCTGGTGTGCAATGGCTTAAGCGTGTAACTGTGAACTTGTGAGGCTGTGAAATAAAGACAGTGGAGTGGTTGCAGGCAGTGTAAGATGTGGTGTTCCTAACTTTCGAATCCTGAAGTCAGGCGTGGAGCGGACCAGAAAGCAAGCAGTCACGGTAAAAAGGAAAACGGCTTGGCCGACGTGACTGAAAGAGAGCCACAGATGGTCGCAGAAACGGCCAGAGTCGTGCTGGAAGGGAATGTGTGGTTCGTCAGGGAATCAAAAGGGGAAAGGCATGGGCAAAGGCCAAGGATCAGAAACTGAAAGCTGGTGGTGGAGAGAATCCCAAGGGACGCAAAATGACCACAGGAGTTGAGGCCAACCAGCTAAAAGAAGCGTGTGACTGGATATGTCGCACAACTGTCCGCGCTTGTGAGTGGATGGAGTGCGCAACTTTCTGCGCTTATCACTGGCCGGGGTGCGCAACTTTCTGCGCTTATCACTGGCCGGGGTGCGCAACTGACTTCATTCTTAGAAGAATCGTGTGGTGCGCATAGGCCCGCTTCCCTCCGCCCCCCACCCCGCCAGGTCATGCGGAGAGGGGCTTTTCACCGCTTGTTGCGCGCAACTGTCACACCTCCAGAGATCCGTTCGTAAACGACACTGCTCCCCCGCGGACTTTCATACAGTTTTTCAGTGGGCTGGGGCTGGAACATCATGGGCACGACACTTGCGTCCAATTCGCAATTCGCTAACCAGACACACCATATTGAAAACGATTTATCCTAGTGTACCGCACCTAGCCGTGTCCAACCTGTTTCGGGCGAGTTGTGTTGGGGCTGTGAAGCTGACGAGGCGACATTCTTTCGGTGGCAAGGTGCGCGGGAACGAGATTCGCGGGTGGTTGAGGGGGAGCCACGTGGAATTTTCAATGGATAGGGATGGCGGGCTCCAGGCATAACTTGAGAGTATGGATATTGGCCGCTGCAACAACCCTAGTGAGCGAAACAATCGACGTACGTGTACATACAACACCCTTCCAATCGGGATTCAGTTCCAACCAGCGCGACTTGGCATACACGTCAGAACTCGCGGCGCCGAAAATGCAAGATTCTCGGGCAGGGATGTCGGAATACATCTATGCGACGATCCAAAAGTATTGGATTTTCTAGTTTCTCTTCCATTCGTCTGTCAGCCCCTTCTGCCCATGCAAAAAAATAGACCAACCAGTCGCGTCACTAATGTAGGGTTGTGCATATGCTTCATTGAAACAATCCATTCCGTACAGCTGAACCCTACATGCCAAATAGGGTGACTCGGCAACTGAGAGGCTTTCAAGGTCGAGTGACAGGTCGTAAAATAACTAGCCTCACGACTGTCTTCCTTTCCGAGTGATTACCACTAAACGAGGAGATGGCAGGAAGCTTTATTGTTGTTGCCACGTGGCTTCCATACTTCTTGGTCATTCCATGGCCGTCAATCACCCTCTCGTTTCGCATGCTTCTCGAAGAGGCTCGCATCGCATCAGCGGCGGGAGGTGGATGCATTGGGAATCAAAAGGGAAATCCACGTCAATTCATCATGACTGTCTGAATGTTCCAATTCCATGAAAACAAACCGAGGGCAACTGTAACATTCATGTCAGCTTCATACAGACAGCAGTGACAATTTCAAATAAAAAATGCATTAAATTTCTGTGCTACTTGCACCCCTTGCCCTGTGAGAATGGCTAATGGGGTTGGGACGTGCCAGCAACGAGGAGCCATCGCAGCGGGCTCCAATAAAGTGAGATGAGGAGATTCGCTGCTTGTGATTCACCCTACCTCTGGGAGGTGGTTTGGCGTCCACGCAATCCTGAGCACCAGTCCCTGGGACTGTACTTGATGTAAAGCTGCCATGTGCGTCGTTTTGTGAGATTGCTAAAGATGCAGTTCCTCCACACGGGGCATCTTTACGAATCGGAAGAAATTTTATGGGTTGAGGATTGAGGATGATCTCCACATGTTCTCTGTAGACACTTCCACCACTGTCGAGGCTCAGGAACCATCCCAGCCCATTTCCGGAATCCCTCATGCTGCCCCAAACTGTTCGGGGCAAAATGAAATCCCGCAAGTGGAATCCAGCACTGTAGGCGCAGTAAATTCCGGCTGGACCTGCACCAGTCGGAAAACATGGAGATACAAACAGTCAGTAACTTCTCTGCTCGGTAAACGTACCCATACAAGCTGGTTTCCCTAATGAGGATTATTGCCAAGGTATCTACAGAAGCAGCATAGAACCATGCTATACAGCCATGCATGCATTGAACGTGAGATTGATTTTCAGGCATTTAGAGAAAAAAAAAAAAAAAAACAAAAAAAAGATACTTCATTTTGCCATAGATTCTACTGTATGTAGTCAAAACTTCCTCAACTACATGCTACAGCACAAGGCGCTGCATTCTCTTCCGCAAAACCTCGACAGCTCTCTTCTCTGACAATCGAAGCATGTCCATTGGTTGGGTTAGCTCCAGAGCTTCTTTCTCTGCTGAAAGCACCTGGAATAACACATGCCAGGGGAGAGCATAGGAAGCAACATTCTTGGCGACACCAATCAAAACACCCACTCGTGTGGCCATCAAAGTCTGTAGTATGTATCTATATAATGTACCACCTGTATAACTCGCCATGAAAATGTCGGGTCGTCGCATGCCGGAATGCCAAGAGACCATAGCTTACACTGCAGGGTTGGCACGGCACTCAAAGCAACAAATACAGTGTGGAAACACTCGGTGGTTCGGCGCCGCACCTTCGTAGGTTTGGCGACAAGCCCAGCGCACCCATCTGTATGGCTCATCACCGTTACAATACCACACCTGGTATGCCATCTTGATTGGTTAGGTTCGGCCGTACCTTGGTAGGGTCGGCGCCCACTGCACCCATCTGCATGGCCATCATTCGCTGCGTGTCGTCCGTGGCTGGATGGGGAGGGGGAGAATTAGGAGTGAACAACAGGGAGAGCATTGGGAGGTGCCCACTGCACCCATCTTCAACCTTGTGAACCCAATTCCACCCATCTGCGTGGCCATCATTTGCTATGTGTCATCCGTGGCTGGATGGGGACAGAGAAGGGGGTGCGGGGGGGAGAGGGTCGGGTGCGAGATGTACGCACAGGGGGGTTGACAGGTTGCAATGCTTGAGGAGGAAAGGATGTGATCACATGGGAAGGCAAAGGTGTGTGTATGCAAATCAAGCTATATCGAAGTAAATCAAATCACATATCGAATAAAACCAAATCAAATATAACAAGGGCACGACTTGGTGGCCATGTCTCCTCACCTTTGTCCTTGCCAAGAGTGAGTGAGCTGAGAGATGTCTCAAAGAATAACTCCATGGCAAGGACTACTCACCAAGTCTGAAAGAATAACACCATGGCAAGGACTACTCACCGTTGTCCTCGCCAAGAATGAGAGTGAAGAGCCCCCGCAGGCCAAATAGATTGAGGAAGTACCTAATATAGGGGAAACACAAGAAGGGAGTGCGTGGGGGGATGGGAATGGCGGGAAAGGGAAGGACCTTAACAGTTGCAGAAAAGATGTGTGTGCAACATCCTGTCATTTTGACAAAAAAACAAATCCTCTAAAATTCTTTGAATCTGCACACACAGTCACTAGTATTCTAAACACAACCAGATCCAGTCACACCCACCAGGAGCGGCTGCTGACAAAGCTGACATCCACTGTGCTCAGATCTATGCCGTTCTGCAGCATGCCTCGAAACTTCTGAGTCAAGGGGAATGGCACCTTGGCTGGGGGGGAGGGAGGGGGTGCACAAGGAGAGACAGGGGGAACGATAGTTGGAATATACGCTCAAGCCCTAAAGCGTATAGCGTAGATGCGCTAGCGTGTGTACGCAAAACGCGATACGCTAGCTAATATGCTATACGCTATCAGAAGGCTATTCGGGCTGCCCGAGAAAAAATCGCTTGTACACAGAAAGATGCGGAATCTTCTACTGAGCATTTCGCCGAAGTCGAAATGCAATTCGACGGTCTAGGGAAGCGGGAATGTGCCTTCGAAGTTTGCAGGGAGTTCAAATTTGAACATTAGATTAGTACCGCATTGAAACCCATCTCATCTACGAACTCCAACCTGACAAAAACGTCCCTCACCAAACCTCACTCACGCTACTTACCAGTCAGCAAAATTCCAGTTGTCAATTCTAGTTGACATTCCCGCTTCCTAAGGGCGTGCATGATATTTTTTCGAGTTCGTAAAATGGGTCGAACTTTTGGTGGTAACCAGTTTCGCCAATATCGCAAATATGTTTCGTCAATGTTGACTTCACGCTGGGAACTACCAAATTCGAACATACAAAAGTAAACAAGAGTCGAGATTTTTCCAAACGTGGTTTTGCATGATGAACCGAACGTGTGTGTTTTTAGGCACGTACGAGGAGCAGCGACGCTCGCGAATTGTTCGTTGACTTGTCGCACTGTCAAAAAGATAACACCAGGTAACCTACGCACCCTCTAGGCGGCTCGGTTCACCTCACCCCTATAAACTTGAACCTCCAAATTCGCACCTGCGCGTGTGATTGTGAGTCTAGCACCTTTGACACCCGCGGTTCGAACTTGCTATAGCTCAAAGTCGAATAAAGTTCACTCTGTGTTCACATGCTACAATCGAATAAAAAACGTAAACTTATGGCAGTTTCAAAAATCATACACGCCCTAACAGCAGAGCTCCTTCCGATTCCTACCTACTTCTCCTTCTAGTGTCTACTCCACATCCCACCCCAATCGCAGTTCAGACTTAGGGAAATGCTACGAAAGTTTTAGTGAGAATAGGGAACATCTTCCCAATGGTGTGCACGACGTTCTTTTCACCCTGCCCGGGATAGTTTTCTACCTGCCCGGAAAAGCGTATTACCAAATCGACC